TATATTTAATATCAGCATTGCACCCGTGCGAAGCCGGGACGGGTCGCTAGTTGAGTATATTTAGATTAACACTTAACAGTATTCGTTTGTGAATAAATTGACATTATAAGAACGACGTTAATCCTTTTCTTTTCGTAAATTCAATTTTCGACGTTAATTAGACTTTAAATGAAATTATCATAGAAATTACGTATGTAAAATAAATTAACGGTTACAGTGGAAGAAACATTTAATTCCAAACTACATATTATTTTGCCTAATCTTTCTATAAGAATTATCATATTAACAATTTAATAGATACGTTAACTTTAAATATCAAATTTGTATGCGTCAGCAAATTAAAACAGAGGCGCTTCTAGTAGCTTTTTCGTGTTTTTATGTATTTCTTCTTAATCGGATTATCGCCTTAAATTTTGCATTTTTATTACGAAACCATCTTAGATGTCTTCCCAGTTTTTTATTTATCTTCGTAAATTCATAGGCTTCCTTTTGATTGCGATATTTATATATTAAGTGTTGAAAGCTTCAAACATATTTTTAAAGCTGTATACTGAATTTTAATCCCTTTTAGTTTTGTATATAAATTCCTTTTTAACTTCTTTTAGCTTTTAGTACCTACACAAATAATTTTTCTCCTTCTTCAATAGTCAGTTATTTATTTATTTATTTATTCAATAACAATCAGCAGGCCGGAAGTCCAATAACATAGAGATAAATAGAAAAATAGCAGTATTTTGACATCGTCCTCGTATGATAAGGAGCGAGAAAACTAGAGTATAGAAAGAAAACTATATATTACTAGGGTAAATAACAGCGGACCCAAGTGAGAGCCTTGTGGCACACCAGAGGAAGCGTAATAACTGACACACTCTGTATTCCAAATACGTTTGCCCTTTTTTGGCAGGATATCGTGGGTGGGGGTCACTTTTTTATTTGTTTTAATTTGTTCGAATTAATTAAAAGCGTTTTTTAATTACAAAAATGTTAGTTTATATAAATTTTCTTGAAGATATTACTACTATTACTACATTCTTTCATAAAAATAAAAAAAAGAGAGACTTCTAATTTGAATCAAATGTTTTTACTTACACGTACACGTTGATTATTATTATTATGATTATGGTATAAGTATGTATATTAAGAAATTCTTTCGGCGATAACTTTCACAACAACCTTTTTCGGTTTAAAAATAAAAATATATAACACCATTGACGAAAAGCTCATGATCGTTGTCAGGACGATCATATAAAATATAAACCGGAACCAGAAATCGTTGATTATGTCCTCCATGTCTCTGTTCCACCAGACCAAATTCATGGAAAAATTTTCGAGGAACATTAACGTGAAAAACCCGAAAAATATAAATTTCGCCTTTTTGAATCTAATCTTAAACTCTATCAGACAGAATAAATAAACAAATCCCAAAAATATAAAAAATATCGCCTTAGACCGTCGAACTTCGTCGGCCCTAACGTCGTACAATAAAATTGAAACTGTTATTATAAAATGCGCAGAAAGAATCCAAACTATTTCAGACGGATAGAAATATCCAAAGGACGCAATTGTGAGCATTCGCGAAATTAGAAAACAGAACCACCACATAAATCCTATAATTTTACCGACCACGTCATCTTCGGGTAATCCCTCGACTTTTCTCAATCTGCGAGGGTTAAAATAATCGTCATCCTGCGCCAGTGCGGCATCTCTAAAAACTGTCCTCTTCGGGCCGTCCACAACCGAAGTTTCTCTTGGTTCTTCATCTCCATTTTTCGTCCTTGTCCTCACATCTTGAGTGGAACCAGTCGGTACCTCGTAGAATTCGCTACTTCTCCTTCTTTCAGGATTTCTCGGACGCTCGTTCGCTGTTATTAGAGCGTCGCGATTTCGTATATGGATCCCTTCAATTGCAATGTCGTACGTGAATTTGTAGTCCTTGAACCAAGGATAATTTCTTCCTGCCATCTTCTGCGATTTGAAATGTTGGTACAGGGTCGTCACTACCGACATTCTCGCCAAAGACATGGCTATACATAAGACCTGAGCGTCAACTAAAACAGAGAAGACGTTGTTCATTTACAATTATTAATTCTGCTAGACCTCTGTATAGCTTATTCCTTTAAAGTTAGCATTGCAAAATATATAAACCATTGGATAATTAGCAGCAAATTAGTTTAAATTTAGCCGTCAAAGCCAAAAATTATCTGCGACCCGTGAAATCCGAAAAACATGAAGTTAAGAATGTTTGGGAGGTATGTCAAAATGCTACGAGACAAATAAAAATTTGGAAGAACGTTTCTCATTCAATTCTAAAACTCCTGTAAAAATTACAAATCGATTCACTAAACCGTTAAAAAGTTATTGAAATTTTAAAAAATTGTAATTTTACACGTCATTTTATGGAGATTCGTTAACCGAACAGATTAAATTTATTTTTATTAACAGAAAAAAAGCTACCAGAAATTTCAAACTTTTATAATAAGTAACTTGAACTCTGGAGAATCACTTTAGCGTAAGGTTATTCAAATTCACTAAATGGTTATCGAGGAAAAAATGAAAAATTAGCTGAAAATCTCGTTTTTACTTGATAATATAATGATAATATTTATAATTGTCTGAAATAAATGCAATTTTAAAGTTTTAATTATTATTTAAACATATTAAAAAGTTTTACGCTCATTATTAATAGAGATTGAAACTAAATATTTTTTTGTTTCGAAGTTGAAATCAAGGCATATTCACTGCCAAGTCAGTTAAAAATTTTCCATATTATTCGTTTTTGGTCAAATTCCAAATTTTCTCACAAACCATATACTTTTTGTTTAGTATAGATAGTATTTATTTACCTCATGATATGCTGCAAAACCTAATTAATCACGTATTTTATGTACTCTTGTCTCCGATTGTACCTCCCAAACATCCTTAAATCAGAAAAATGTTAGACAGCTAGAACGGGCTCACAAATAGCCATTTATTTACCGCTGATAATGTTGAGGGTTGAAAATAATGTAATTTTTCACTTTTGATGGTCGACAACTGCTATAATATCGAGTGGGTTTACAGTAGTGTTACAACAGAAATCTGTTTCCGCTTCTGCAATTACGAAAGTTCCGCATACATTTTCACATCCGCTTCTGCATGTGGTTCCGCATTTTTATAACGGAAGCTTATCGGAACTTAACAAAATCTTATTTCCCATCTTTCTGAACATTAATACATCGGAACAATAAAACAAGTTGCAAAAATTTATTATTTTTATCTGTTGGGGAATATTCACAACTAGTTTCAAACCCAATGAAGAGTTAATTCCCAACTTTTGCATATTACCTTCAAACGAATTTCCCGGTCGCGGTTAATTTTTGTATTTCACGACCAATTTGCAATTAATTATCCAATGCGTATGTTTATCTTGTTAATTATAGACGTTTACCGTATTTTGTAACACTTATTGTAATAATAAATAAGCAAGCCAGACAAAGGCCCTGACAGGTACTGACCGACGATAATTAAAAGCGCACATTTTCGAAATAAAAAAAATTACTTGTATCTTTATCCATGGTGGAGACGTTTCTCATTAGGATATGTAGTTGTAAAAGTACTTGCGGCGCTGCCTGTAAATACCCCTGAAGAAAAAAGTACAACTCGATGGTTCGGGGTTCGGACAACTTCTGCAAACTTTCATTTTGCAATTCTTTATCGTCAGTTCTAACGCCTTCTATTGACCAGAAAATCTTCTCGGCGAACCTAACGTTGAAACACATAAAACGAGGACTTTATTTATTAGTTTAGGTATAGTACATCTGGTAGCATTATTGTTTTTTTTTTAATTATAATAACATAATAAATAAAGCAATATTTCATTGTTCGTAAAGTACTGCAAATTCTAGAAATTATTAGTGCTGTCAGCACAGGCCAAAGTAGTATTACGTAGTTAGTATCAGCAATTTCTTATGCTGAAGTGTACGATGTGTTGCATACCTATTTGCAAACAATTCCTTTAAATTTAATTTTTCAAACAATTTTTAACACAAAGAAAGTGATTAAACAAA